GGGCGGGTCAGGAGAGGTCTGCCACGCCATGTGGTCACCTCCAGGGCAGGCGGGAATCGAACTCATGCAGAAGCGGTTTTTTAGATTCTCAGTGCTGTGCTTTAACCCGCTGTGCCACCAGGGAGGGCCGAGCTTTAGGTTTTTTATCTGAGTGGTAGAAAATCTTTTTCTCTCCCTGAGAATGTCTATAAAAGCATTAAAGACCCATTAGCAAGGGAGATGATGAATGGTGGAAGATGGGAAGATTGGAAAAAAGTATTTAGGATTGAAGAAAAAGAACATGCAAAGATCTTGGGGCACGTGGGATAATCTGGAAAAGATGTGTTGTAAAACCAGACAGTCTTCCAAAAATTAGGAGGCTTTTTATGGATTTTTAATCTTGTGCTATGTGAATTTATTATCTATTGACAAATAAAATCAAGTTAGGCATCACTGCTTGAAGTATCAGTTCTTTGAAAAGTCCAAGAAGAAGTCCTCGGGGCCAAGCTGAGGCTGGGCCAATAGGAGCCGAGGATAACAGGAAAACTCATAGCAAATGAATGAACTATTTATGCAACAGATATTTATCTGGAGGGCAAGGTGTCCCAGGGAACAGCTCGGTAGACAGCTCGGTAGACCACATCTATCATTTATGAATTGTGTTTGAGTAAGCTACTTGTTTTTTCCGATCTTATTCTCCTTAACTACAAATATAATTTTGAGGATTGTTACCTGGAATAAATGAAATGGCAGAAGTACACAGAAGATAGCAATGTATTCTCCTGAACTGATTTTTCTGAAATGTTTCAAAAAATGCAGAAAAACTTAACACAGTACAATGAATAGCCATATGGCTTCACCTAATATAACCCTTATTAATATTTTGTTACAATTGCACTTGTTCCACAGACATACAAATACAGGTACGTAGATATTTTCTTTTAGAAATTGAAAACGAGTTCTAGACAACTTGACAATTTAATACTAAATGCTTCAGGATGCACCATCTAAGAATAAGCACATTATCGCACAACTTCATCACACCTAAGAAAATGAAGAGTAGGGCCCTCCCTGGTGGTGCAATGGGTTAAAGTGCAGCATTACGAAGTGATCCACAGCCACTGCAGCATGAATTCGATGCCCAGCCAGGGAGGTGACCCAAATGGCACAGCAGACCGCTCCTGTCTCACCCACTGCTCCCCTCAGCAGTGCACTTCAGTAGATCTGCCTGTTATGCTCCCCACTCTGTCTCTGGTGAATCCTCTCACCCCACACCTCTGGCCTGTACCCCAGTTCTTGTATGCACAAATAAATAAATCTTTTAAAAAAAAGAAGAAAAGAAAATGAAGAGTAATTCTTTGTATCTACTACCTAGCTCATACTCAGACTAGAATGATCTCTGATCTTAAGTGACATGATTGGTTCACTCTGGGGCTATGTGAAGGAAAACAGTAGCACAAGCAAGACTAGTTAGGAAATTACTCCAGGAGAAGAATGGTGAAAACCTGGGCAATGATGCTATGGCAAAGGGACAGAACGGAATTTACAGAGAAATCTGTAGAAGTTATATCTGCATTAAACAGGTGACACATTGAGGCATGTGATGGCAGATTGAGGTCACATTGAGGGTGACCAGGCAGATGCACCCTCTCCGCCCCACCTGTTGGTCCCGCCCGTTCCTGCCCATCCCTGGCCACCTCTGGTGGATGCTTTCATTGACCCCACAGTTATCTTTTCCAGATCATAGAGATGGAGTCATATAATATGTGGACTCTTCTGATTGTTTTTTTTTCACTTAGTGAATAGCACAGAAACTCCTTAATCTCTTCTCATAGTTGATAGCTCATTTCTTTTTAATGTTGAGTTGTCTTTCATGGTCTCGCTGTCACAGTTGGTTTATTCATCCACTCATTTACTGAAGGGCATCGTGGATGCTTCCAAGTTTTGGCAATTATGAATGAAGCTGTTATGACCATTTATAGGTAGGTTTTTGTAGGGACATAAAGTTTTTACTCCTTTGGGTAAATACCAAGGAGTGCTGGGTGATATGGGGAAGAGCACATTTATATTTATAAGAATAAAGTGCTGTTTTAAAGAGTTCTTTGGCTCTGGAACTAAATGTTCTGAAGGGCACCCCTGGGAATTACTGGTCTCCCCTCCTCTCCCTCACCCCCAGAATGCTAAGGTCGTGCCCCAGTACTCTTACTGAGCAGCGAGGGGGATCAAAGGGCCTTACCTTCTGTCAACAGATGTTTGATATGGGACCTGGCACATTGTGGGCACAGATAAAAGCCTGCACCAGCCTTCCTTCCCCCAACCCTGTCCTCCTCTGTCTGTGGCTGATGTCCTACCTTTGGGTGTGGTTTCTGAGGCATTAAGGGCTCCCTGAATGACAGCCTGTGCCTCAGAGTTCTTTTTCTTCAGAAAGTCGATAGTTTCTCGTAAATCAAGCAGCTCAGTGTCCTGAGAGAAAAGTGAAGATAGTGCTATCAGCTGGGAATGGAAGCGCCTGCTGAAGGCCAGGCAGTGGGTGAGGCACTGGAATTTGACCAGACTCACTACAGAGGGGCAGGGAATTTGGATAATTGTATGGAGGGACAGGCTGAGAATTCAGGGTAACAGGAGGGAGAAAAAACAGCCCTCAGGAGGGAGGGATGTCAGAGTTGCATGTCTATCTGGGAGAGCCCCGGCCAGCGCCTCCCCTGTGGGTGCCCGCCTCTCACCTTCTCCTCTGCTGTTTCGGCGAGGTGTCGTAGGCGGGATGTCATGTTTACCAGGCTCTGCTCAAAAGCCGCCACCAGGTTGGCCTGAAACACAGAGGAGGGGCCCGGTTTGCCTGAGGAATGGAAAGGACCGATGTGGGAAGGACTTTGAGCTCATCCTGCATATCAAACTGGCCGATGTCAACAAACTTCTCAGTGATTTAAAAATGCTGATTTCCCTGAGCAGACAAGGTGGGGTCCGACACCTGGACTGGCCAGGAGGCATTTCCAGGTGGGGTCCAGCTTCTGGGGTAATGAGTGGTACAGACCGCATGAGGGTGAGGCAGGCTTAGGGAGGCCCCAGGGGACCTGAGGCCCTGCACCTGTCCAGTACCAGAGGTGGGACAGCCTCTGCTCTATGGGGCTGGGGGGAGCCTTAAGTCCCTGGCTCATTCCTGTTGTCTTCATGGTCTGGCCGGCTGGTCTCCATGGGTCGCAGCCATCCCCTGGCAGAAGCTGGGGGTTACAGCTTTCTACTTATGCTCTGCCTTTCATTTCAATTTGTTCTTCAATTTGATCCTTGTTCTGGCTTCTTCAGTATCTGCAGGGCTGGAGAGAAGCAGCTTAAGATTTTCAGGGGCTTTCCACATCTTGGCCACTAGATGTCAGGCCCGTTTCGTGGGGCATGAAGACTCCCCAAGGGCCTGGAGAAGAGGAAAGGTCCTAGTGCAGCTGACTGGCAGCAAGATGTGTGGGAAAGCGAAGGGATGAAGAAGGGGGACACTTGGGGACAGAGGATTAGCCATCAGCGGAGGGCTTCAAAGGGTGTCCTCAGGAAGAAGTGACGGACACCAGCTGGGCAGGTCTGTAGCACAGAGTTCTAGAATGTCTGTGACACAACTCACTGCTTTCTATCAGCTACCAATTCACCCCCACTGTTGGGTCAACGTGAGTTTTTACCCAGTGCCCTTGATGTGCCTGGGAGCTACTGTCACATGACCTTGGTGGGAAGCAATCTGTTTGTTCCGTGTGAGCACCTCTCCTGCTGGACTATAAATCTGTCAAGGCCCATGCTCCTCAGAGGCTCTGCCGTGCTGAGAGTTCACTGGGACCCGCTGTGTAGGGAATTCCCATGTTCTCAGCCTCCAGGTCTTCTCTTGTTGACTTCTCTCTATCCCTCATGTCTAAGGAGTCTGACCCTAGCCATCTCCTCAGGAGGGGCCCCCAGAACCCCTGGCTTCTTATGGGCTCTTCTCTGTTGGCTCTTCTCAGTGGGGGAGCTCCCTTGACCACTGGGACAGATGGGTTTTCCTTTCCTCTCTCCCATTTCCTTCTTCACCCTCAACCTCACCAAGTGCCTGTAAGACCCCAGAGCGAAGCCATGGTGCTGGAGAGAGGGTGGCATTTGGGAGGGTTTGCGTGGTCCTGGGTCCCCCCAGCACCGTCTCCCGCCTCCCCCCTCCCCCGCTAGAGTGTGCCCTCAGCCTGGGCAGCCGGCAGCTCCGGGTAGCTTGACCAAAGCTCCTTCTGGAGTTGGGATCCTGCGGAGGCTACAAATCTTCCCAGAGTCCTCTCATCATGTCTCTTGCTTGAGGGCAGGGCTCTGACCCTCAACAAAAATTTGACTCTAAAATTCAGAACCTGTCATGTCTGGGTGCTTAGTTTGTTCTCTCCAAGCCAAAGGGAGCTTCCTGTTCTAAGAAAAATCACCGTCTAAATCCATTTTCTTGGCTCTCTCGACAGCATGATGGCTGGCAGTCTGCAGTATAAATGAATCAGACACACTAATGTTCTCGGCCTCCCGGGCGCCTTTCCCCCTAGCATCTCCCAGACATGAATTTCCTGGGGTGTGTGGGACGTGACCTGGGGCCACGGGCCTTGGTGGATGGGGCACCGGCGGGGGTTCTTGCTTACATTGCAATTCTCATAGGACCCCAAGAATGGAAAACAGTGCTTGAGATGAGCTTCCAACAAACTGGTGGGTTTGCTGAGCTACTGAAGAGCTGGGGGTTTGAGAGAATGACCAGTGTGGAGAGGAAACTGCTATTGAACTACATTGGATGTGGGCAACTTGATGGTGCAGAGACTTCTACCAGATTCCAAGGGAAGATCCTAGGCCTGACAGCTGGGTTCCCCAGAGAAGTGGAGAAGGAACAAAACCCAGAAATTACTGCGGAAATTACAGACATGGTTACTTTTGTGCAAACACTTGGAAAGCGTCTGCAGATCCGGCTCAGCTGTTGTTTACACGGTGGCGAAAAGGGCTCTTATGTTCTCTGTTTGCAACTTGGTCACAGGGGAGGAACCACAACCTAGTTAGAGGAGATGGCTGCATTTGTTCCCATCTCACCGGGAAGAAAAACCAAGGCCGAAGAAACTCTCTCTAAAAGCATGTCCTAGAGGCAGAAACAAAGAACCAAGGATCCCAGTCTGAACCTCAGATCATTTCTGCAGCTGATGGGGTAACTAAGAAGAAACAGCTGTGTGTACAGAGCAGTAGAGCTGGGTTCTCACACGGGCAGAGATGCGCCCAGGGCTCAGCAGGCCTGCAGGGATAACCCAGAACTTCTTCACTTCGTGGCCAATGCGAGGCTGTTTCCACTTCTATGCAGACAGACGGATCGTGCCCTCTTCTCTAGAGAGGGCAAAACATACAAACTCATCCATACTTAATAATGACGGTGGGGTAGAAACGGTTCTTCACAAAACTACCAGAGAAAGGGAAAGGCAGTCACCAAACTCCCCTGTGACACACTCTAAGGGGGCCTGCCCCTTTGGAGCCTGCACTTAGGGGGCAGGTACAGAGGACACTTGTCCTCTTTGGCTGAAGTTTTCTAACTTAGGGCCCAAACAGCCGCCTGGGTCTTGACCCACTTTATGGCACTCACATTGGCAGAAAGTTGAGATGTGAGTGTGGCCACTTTTTCCTGGGATGACTCCAGTTCCCGGCGCAGCTTCCGGATTTGCTGTGAACGAAAGAGAAATAGAAATGTATGGTGGCAAAAGAAGTACAGGATGTGGAAGGAAAATGGGGTGCGGTGGTGTTAACAAGCAGACACAAAGGCTTTGCACCCTACCTCAGACTGCATCCTCTCCTCTGCCTGAAGAAGGGAGCACAGAGAGAGAGAGAGAGAAAGGAGGTGGTTACTACGGAGGTGAGGAAGCGGGGCAGAGAACCGGAAGCGGCATGGCTGAGACATGCAGAGAACCCTGAGGCCCTGGCCCTTCAAGGACCCTCTCAGCCCCTACAGACAAAAGATGACTCTTGGGCCCTCTCTGGTGGTGCAACGGATTAAAGCACAGAGCAAAGCCACTGCAGCATGAGTTTGATCCCCAGGCCCAGAGGTGACCCACATGGCTCAGCAAACCTCTCCTGACCCACCCGCTGCTCCCCTCAGCAGTGCATTTCAGTTGATCTGCCTGTTCTGCCCCCTACTCTCACCTCCACCCTCACACCTCTGGCCTGTACCCCAGTTCTGTAAGCATAAATAAATAATCTTAAAAAAACAAGATGGTGTTTTTTGTCTTCTCTAGTCAACTCTGCCATTACCAAGACTAACAAATGAAACTCCAGCTGACCTGAAGACTAATTCTTATTGTCACCACCTTGAAGGAGTAAAGAATTAGGGGTAGAACAAGTGTAAGAATCACGAAACACCCAGTAGCCAAGTGGTTCCCATGCCAATCAGCGAATACATAGTGAGTTCTACCCACTGAGAGGGCTCTGGTGTCTTAAGAGCATCCTCTTACCGGCAAAGCTCCCCACTTCTCATGGCCCAGAATGGGCTTGATGACATCCTCTAATTTTTCAAAGAAAGGGAACCACAAAAAGCACCAGGATTCTCAGCAATGGGCCCTCGGGGGTGAAAGACCACCGGGGAACTGAGACACCTAGCTGAGTTCTCCAATTTCGGGTGCCATTCCCTAACACCAGCCCAGATCCTTAAGGCAGAATAAAGAGGTATCCAACCGAAGGAGGTTCTAGGGAGCAGCGCAGTGGTAGGGAGAGGGGGTGGGGGAGAAAGAGAAGCTAACGCTCTTACTGATGAGTACGTGGAGGAGGCGCTGGAGGCCAAGGACAGCACCGAGCCGTGAACTGAAAAAGAAGCAGAACACCAGCAGTCAGCAGAGGGAGGGCCCGGGGCCAGGGGGTTCCCAGAAGAGCCCTGAGGCAGGAGTTTGGGTTCTGATTCTGGAAGGCATCTGGAGCAAACAGACAGAGCAGGAAAGGGGACCCAACTCGAAACCCAACAGCCCAAAGTAGGTCTCTGCTGGGAGGGGAGTCCTGGGTGGAGCTAGTCTCCTCTAGCTACTTTCTCCTGGGTGGAGCTAGTCTCCTCTAGCTACTTTCTCCTGGGTGGAGCTAGTCTCCTCTAGCTACTTTCTTCAGTGGCCTCAGGCGCTCTGTCCCTGCTTAGCTCAGCCTGCCCTGAGGGGCAGGAGGATTAAGGGGGAGGGACAGGAGATGTTCAGGCTAGGTTTTGTCTTATCTTCACAGACAGGAAAAGTACTTTAGCTGCAGAAGCTGAAAGATCTTATCAGAGTCGGGAAGAACAAATCCTGCAAACTGCCTGAGCCTCCTTTTCTCAGCCCTGAGGGATCACCTGTGATCCTGGGGATCATTCAGATGGAAAACATACTGACTGCAAAACACTCTTCTGACTGTTCAGCAGTGCCCCACTGAGAGGGCCGAGGACCCTCCCTAGGCCCATGCCTGGAACCTGGGGCCCACGCCTGGAACCCGGGAACGAGCGTCTGAAGAGAACCAGAGGAGGTGTGGCCTGGCCATGGACCACTCTGACCATGACATCCAGATCACCACCAACAACCACAGGGCTCTCCCTGAAGCTAATCTTTGGAACATTCTAGAAAGAGGAATGAGATGCCTAGTTCTTGGGAAGGATCTTTGCATACAGTCTGCAAGATGGTAGGGAGTAAAGAGAACGTGCTGGAATGAGGAGGGGGATCGGAGGGGGCTTCGTAGCGCACCCTTCGTGCTATTCCCTCCCCCGGCCCCAATGGTGAATGCTCCACCCCAGAGCCCCAGCGCTACATGGTGCCACCCAAGGTTTCTGGGCCCCCAGGCCCTTCCAAGGGATGGGAAGAAAGAACTGAAATGGCCCCAACTCGATGTCCTGTGATTCATATACGTGTGTGTGGTGGTGGCAGTGGTGGTGAGCAGGTGGCGGTGGGTGAGGGGCCCAGCAGAGCTGGAATGAGCGTGACCCGCGCTGGCATGAAGTCTCACCATCGTCCGTGGGGTCTCGGAAGGATCCTGACCGAATCATTCCCTTGGGTCTCTCGGCCAGGGACAGGGTGCTCCCCATTTGGGAGCCGCTGTACAGCTCGAAGGCCGCCTCGTGGGTGGGGATGCTGTTGGAGCGGGTGATTCTTGGCGTGGTGGCCGCCGTGGGACTCACTGGAAGGACAGAGGGAAGGGGGACAGGGGAGGGAGGGGGAGGGCAGGAGAAGAGGCAGGGTCATCAGCTCTCCGGTCCCTTGGGGGATGGAACACCGGGAGCATGAGAGGCAAATGGTGGAGGGCAGGAGAGGAAGGGGGAGGCGGGGCGGTGGGAGTGTGCAAGCAGCTGGTGGTCAGGAGCGGGGTCTCTCCTGGGGGGGATCAGCCCTAGTGGAGAAGGACCCTGCTGTCTGGGATTAAGGGAGAACAGCGTTTCCTACTTCAGCCCTTCCCTTAGCCCTGTCTGTCGAGCGGGTACTTTTGAAGGTCAGGCTGGGGGGCCTGGCAGCTTTTCCGAAACCTTCACATCACTCGGATGTGCCGATGGAAATGGGATGTTGTGAGTCTCTAAAGCATAGCTGGCTGTCGGGAGGCCGGAGGATTTCGATCAAGACTGGGATCCGAATGATGAAAAGGAGCAGAGAAGGGAGTCCGGCTACGGGTCTGGCGGGCTGGGCGGCACGGGAGGGGACGTGACTCCCACCACAGTGTCATTCTAGGTCACTGGTCAGTTCTAAAGCAGCAAGAAACATGACCTCTCTGCCCAGTGCTGCTCCCTGGCCTGAAGGTCAGACAGATGGAGCAGGCCCGATCGTAAGGCTCGTGGGATCTACTTCGAAGCCAGACTTGGCCGAAACCCTGTTATAGATGGGACCTCTCTGTCTCCTTCGCTCCTGCTGGGATCACAGCCTCCTGGGGCTCACGCTCCCATGAAGCCTGCGGGCTCTTCTTTTGCCCCCACACAGGCAGGGGTGACTAGTCCCCCACGGAGACCTGTGCGGAAGACCTCACACCTCCCTTGGCCTTTCTGAGCCAGGAAGTTGGTCACTGCTTAAGAGGTCCCTTATTCTGCAGCATCAGTGCCTGTCCCCTGGTTGGTCCTCGGGAGAGATGGAGAACACGCTGGCCCCTCCTCACCGAATGGCCCCTCCTCACTGAATGACCAGATGACCTTTCCATAAGAATCATTCCCTGCTCTAGGCAGTGATCCCACATCTTAATTTTGCCTCAAAACCCCTGTCATCTCACAGGCACGTTGCAGGCCCTTGTCTGAATTACTGCTCCCCTTCGCTCAGCTGCAAGAGGAGATGGATGGATCCAGACAGGCTCCAGGAGCAAACGCGAGGCCTGTCCGGCATCCTATGAAAGGGGTTCCTACTAGCCAAGCATGGCCTGCTGCTCCCCAGAACCAGGCCTGGCGTGCTTGCCCATGGGGGCCATGCCTGCCTCCGGAAGTGCTTCCCCTCCCAGTCTGGGAATCAGACTTTTCCTCCTTCCCAGCTTTCCCTTCTGAGACTTTTAGAAGGGCATGACCAGGACTCATGGCAGAAAGGCTGCCTGCAGGGCAAGGCTGGTCCCAGCGCAGCCTGTGCAGTGGGGAATCTGGATTTTCTGGGCTTTGAGGTAGAGCCCATCCTTGGCGCTCAACACCCTTTCCCACCTTCCTGCCCACCAGTCCAGCATTTTAGCATCTCCACGCTGTGCAGGCTGGCTCCTTCTGGCAAAGCCAGCCTGCCCAGTGCCCATTTGCACTCCAGACCTTGTTGCATGTCCATCCTCTGGTCAGGCTCATGGGCATCACTCTAACTCTGATGCCACAAGGCCCTAGCACCTGTGCCCGGGAATGGCTATGTGGTTAGGAACTTGGAGCGCTTTGTCTTTGACATTGAAGCACCTGGAAGCAGGCCAATGCAGTGCCCATCCACTCAGAGAGAAAACTCAAAGCCCAGCTGCCTTGCAGCCTGCAGGGTGGCCCCTGCTTGACCCCAGGCCACAGTGAGTGACTGAAAACACTGACCTATATTGGTAAGCTGGCCCTTTGCGCTCAAGGACATGGAGAGTGCAGGGGGGGACGGCAGCTCAGCCTGGTCATCGGATTCAGGTAGCCCCCCGATGGTGTGGGAGTGCCGCCTCTCCTTGGGCTCTTCCTGGGACTGAAGCTGGTACCTGAGGAGGCACAGAAGAGTTCAGCCTGGACAAATACAAGGCGACACAGGAGGCTCTGAAGGCAGGACCAGGAAAAGGGAGGCAGGCAGGGCTGCTGAGGAGGGGGGAAAGAGGGCGATGAGCGGCCCCTCCCAGGGCCTCTGTGGGTCTCCTGAGCTGGGGAGTGCGCTGATGGAAGTGCGTGAGAACTTCTTCCCCAAAGCTCAGGACAGGTTTGGGATGCCACACACGTGGGCTTCCAAGTGGCGAGAGCCACGGAATGAAGCCGCCAGAGTCGCAGTTCGGGGAGGCAGGGCGTGTCCTGCCCTTACCATGAGCGACCCCACGGGTGCCTGTTGGCCCTCAGACTCTGAGGGCGGAAAATTACAGAGAGGAAGTTGAGCCAGGAGAGCAGAGAGGGCGCACGTTGGTACAGGTAAGGGTGTGCTCCCTACTTACAAACCTGTTCCTCCTCTGTCTTGGGGAAAGAACACTGGCTATGAAATTGACTCACACATAATAGTTCCCTTGGGCAGCAAGTAGGGGTTGAGGAACAGGAACCAGGTGTAGTGACCTGGCTGTGGCCTCGTTAAATTCGGGATCAGGGCCCCAGACAGGTCAAGGGAGTTTTTCACACAGCGGAAGCCCCTGGTCTAGGGAAAATCAAACACGTTGAAAGGTTACCTGAGTCCTTTCTTGGGAAGGGTGTTCCGGTCCCGTTGATTACTGTGGGGGAAAGAGAGAGAAGCATGAAGGTCCCTCTTAGAAACCAAAGTTTGGGGCCTCAGGTTTGAGGGACGAAACGCGAGGACACAGGACAGTGACGTGTGCCCATCGACGCTGGTAACGAAATGAGAGGACAACTGGAGTCGCCTCTTGGTGCACAGCTTGAGAAATTCCCCTGGAGTGGTTTTTCCACTTAGGAAGCAGAGAATTTACAAGATACGACAGGTGAAGACCAGGTGTGATGTGACAGAAATGACCATAGACGAACAGCACAAGCTCCAGACAACAGGTTAAACAAGGTCTTAGTCATTTTATGACTTGGGGCACCACTTCCCATATACAAGAGGAGAATAATTTAAAACCACAAACAAGCAGAAATCCTGTCTCATAGGTTGTTGTCAAGGAAATGAAATGAAGACTGAGGAAATGAAAGCAATGACGTGGCAAAGCAGGGGACGATACTACTCGTGGTAAAATGAGTCAGAGGCAGAGAGACAGGCAGGCCCAGCTCTGTCTCTCTCCACCTACCTGTCCAACTGCCCTGTTCTGGGGCTTCCGCTCCAGGTCAATTCTTCTGTTTCTTCCTCTGGGGGTGCAGCAGAGGGCGCAGGAGGGGTGGGGATAGGGGTGCTGCTGGGGAAGGCACTGGGCAGGCTCATGGGCATCTGCAGAGACTCCATGCTCCTGTGCAGGCCTGAGAGTTTGGGGTACATGCGGGTCTCCTTGGGGACGCTGAAGCCACTCATTAGCTCCAGACCCTGGGAGAAGCTGGCTGAGTTAATATTGAGGATGGGTGCTGGACTGGGGGTGAAGCAGGAGGGAAGCGGGCCCCCAGCAGCTGAGCTGGGAGCATGCAGATCTGGGACCTTGGCGGTGTGGGTGTCACTGGGCGCCGGCAGATCCAGACTGTTGGAGTTGACTTTGTCCAGATTCGCCAGCGAGGGTGGCTTGACGAAGCTCTTAGAGGTGGCCCTAGGGAGTGGGGACAAAACAAAACAGTAAGAGTAAGAGCGTTTACAAAATAAGAGGCAGATGGGACTTTAGAGGAATCCTAGTTGGGTTTCTTTAGCTTCTGGCTATTTCAAAGCTCACAGGCCTGTGCTCTGCTGTGAGATACCCTGGAAGGAAGCCTGATGCCAGGCTCAGGCACCTTCAGTTCTTCGCGGGGGTAATGACACACAGAAGGGTGGCACAGGTAGACCTATTTACAAATGAGCACATGCATGTAAATAAACATGGCAGAGCCACCCACACAACTGCTGAAGACAGGAGACATGGGTTTTGAATAAAGTCTTGAGAGAGGGGAAGGACTGTGGCACATTGGGGAGTCAGGGGCAAGACCGCGCAGAGGCCTGGAGATCACAGCGGGGTGCTACCCCACACCCTACCTGAGAGTGCAGAGGGCACAAAAGCAGGTCAGAGCAGACGGGCCAGGGGAAGCTGCCCAGTTTGGGTACCTGAGAGGGGTTGGCGGTAGCTCTGCCAACTTGGTGGCCGGAGGGTGGCTGGGCTGGTTCTTGGGAGTACTCTCGGGGGAGCCGACACTCTTCAGGGAGATGTTGTCTGAGTCCAAGGCCACTGCCTTAGCCTTGGCCTTCTCCTTTTCCCGATCGGTCTGATTGACAGGGGCTGGAGTGGTCCTCCCACTGGCCACCTTGGAAGGCTCCTTCAGTCTGGAGGGTGTAAGGCTGCCCGGCTTGGTGCTGAGGAGGCTGGGGTCAATGCTACTGCTGACAGGGCGAGGTCCGCCCCGCCCGCCGGTCACACTCATGGAACTGGACTTGGCTGGCCGGGGCAGGCTGCGGTACTGAATGTTCGAACGGGCTCCGGGGGCGAGGAAGCCGGGCTCTGCGCTGTTGGACACATCTAAGCTGGTTTTGCGTCCGTTCACGGGCTTGACGGGGATGCCTGAGGACTTCTGGATCTTGCTGAGAGTGGCCGAACCACCGGTCTGCATGACCGTGGCCGTGCCTGTGGCAGGAGGAGGCTTCTTGTAGCCGAAAGAGCCTGAAGTGGACGGACGAGCGATGCCGGAGGGAGGCTTCTTGGCGTCACTCAGCCGATCCCGGCCGGCATCCGAAGAGCAGCGCTGGAGAGCGACATTCTTCACTGCGAGCTTCCCCTTGTCCGTGGCTTTGCCTTCAGGCTTCCCTGCAAGAGGGCGGGAAATGAGGCAAGAGCCGCTGAAAGTAGCCACTCTTAACAATCCTCTCGCCCTCCCCACGCCTCCAGGGGAGAAGGGAACACTTTCCATTGTGCTGCAGGGTTTCAGAGAATGAAAAGTGGGGGTGGGCAGGAAGGAGCTCAGGTGGAAGGTGGAAGTGGACTGGGTGGATGCTACAAGGGATTTTTTTTTTCTTTTGTTTCCAGAGTCAGTTATTGCACTTTAGTTGAAATGGCAGAGGCGACCACAAAGATTATCAAGAAGGCAGAGCCTCTTACTCGGCAGGGAAGCCCATGAAGGGGAGCAGGGCAATAGCTAGTGAGTGTCGATCAAGGGGAACTTCGGGAGAGCTTGGGTTCCGCCTTATGGCTTTCTTGGGCGGTCTAGCAGACACCTTGTGAAGCGAGGGACACAAATCAGATGTTTCGCGAGAGGAAAGAGAGGAACCAAAGGGATGCATCTGAAGTCAGGTCAAACTAGCCTCTGAACAGAAAATACTCACCCCCTTTACCCCCTATGCATGTGATTTTGTTCACTCATGTTCCCTCCTCGAGTTGGTTTCCCCATTTGCAAGAGGGAGGTAGCAGACTCACCTGCCCTAACTCCCCGGGCTGCCGTGACAAGCTGAGCCGGTAACACACAAGAAGGTGCCATGGGGCATCTACGGTCATTCCCCCGCACTAGTGACCGGCAGAGACAGGCCTTTGCTACTCCCCAGCCCCCGCCTTTATTCCAGGCTTACCTGCCACCTTGAGAGCACTCTGCGCCGTGTGAGTGATGGGAGATGTGACGGCCACGGGCGGAGTCTTGCCCTTCTTCAGTGAGCTGGGGTGCCCCAGGCTGACAGGCTTTTTCAGCTCTCCGATCTTGGATGAGTCATCACAGCTCTCGGGCCGCTCTCTCCGCCACTTAGAAGTCCCAGGTTCCATCTTCAGGCTTCCGCTGTCGTACTCCAGTTTTTTGGGGGCCTTCTCCTCTGATTCGCTAAACCAGCTCAGCCCACTTTCTGCCAGGGAGCGCTTCTCTGAGTCTGTGCGGAGCTGAAGAGGGGAAGAGTGAAGGCAGAGTGAGACACTTACCTGAGGATGGGGAGAGCGGGGGCAGTGACTGATTTTGGTTGCTGGGTGTCCTACTCATCCGGGGTTTCTCTGGCCAGGTACAGAGAGAAGACAGCATATGTATCCCTGGGGCAGTGCTTACAGGATCACTGCATATCAGCTCTCCCCTGTGTTTGTTGAGGGCACTAAAAATGGCACAGCGAATGTCTTAAGCCTCTGCTTGGTAGTTTTTTGCTTTCCTAGCTCTAGAAGGATTGGCCAGAGGTCAATCTGGAGTGGAGCATGTGTACGTAAACACACACACACAGGCATTGCCCAGCTTGCCCGGTGGTTCGTGGTTCATCGTGAGCTGGTGGCCTCCGGGCTTGCAAATGCACATACCACTACGGTAGAGTTCCTTCGAGAAGCAGTGGGTGTGGTTGGAAGGGAGTTGAGTGAGGAGCTGGCGTTGAACTCTTCCGAGCTGAGGTTGTCTGAGGCATCGCTGAGGCCACTGCTGATGGAGCTGCTTTCATCCCAGCTACAGGACAGAGACAGAAAGTTGAAACAGAAGTTAAGGGGGGGGCCTCCTTGATAGCCAAGGGGTTAAGTGTCAGCACTGTCACCACTATGGCATGAGTTTGATCCCCAGCCAGTTTGCTGGCGCAGCAGACCTCTCCTGTCTCCCTGCTGCTCCTCTCAGCAGTGTATTTCAGTGAATCTTCCTGTTCTGCTCCCTACTCTGTCTCTGGTGAATCCTCTCACACTGCCCTGCATTTCTGGAGTACACCCCAGTTCTTCTACAGAAAAATAAAATGAAAAATCAATTATTCATGTTGATGGAGGAATGGCTCTATGCCAGTGTATAGACTGGAAGAAAGAAGAAAGCATGGGCATTAGTGCTGGGTTTGCCAGTCGCGCAAAGTGTGGTTGTTCTTTTATAACAGGAAGACCATCTTGACCCGGCACGAGTCATTACAGCTCTTTAGCAGAAAGGGATATTATAAAGACAAGGTAATTCTTGGATCAGTCTAGTTATTTGTAAATCAATTTCCTCTCTCTATGAATAGGCGCCATTCTTAGAATTATATTTTTGTCACTTTTCAATGTGTTCTCCAGGTATTTTCCCCTCTCTTTTTGAAAAATTCCCATACCTGGTCACAAGGGACAGGAAAGTATTACCTTTTCTAGAACCTCTTAGAGTTTATCATTTCTCATTGTGCTCATTTATGTAAGTCGCCTTATCCTGGGAATCAGGTTTTACTTTTAAATGACATTGCTACTCTTGTGGCATAAGAGACACATTTAAGCTGTGATAGCCAGGCAGAGGTGCCAGATTTGTGCTGAAGGACTTTATTTTTCTGCACTTGCTGGGAATATCAGCTTTGCAGCATCTAGGAGACACTTGTTAAACATCTGTGTATGTACATTTGTATCTAAAGAACCTCGTCTACATATGAAGTAAACTGAATCCAGCTACCTTCACCCTAAGCTGTTCCACAGTCTGTTGGCCACTCATGTCGGGGCTCACAAGATTCAGTCAGTAAGTTTATTCCTAACCTCTCAACAAAGTAGCCTGCTCTGACACTGACAGTAGATTCCTTTCATTCTAGCCTTTGCTACTCACACGTTTCTTCTGATCCCACATTATCTTCTAAGCTCAAGTTCTGTCTCTGTCACTCTTTATGTTTTTCCATTTTCCGACGCGTTCATCATTTCTATTACGCACTTTTGAACTCTAAACACGTCTGTTCTCATTCAAGTTTTAGAGCCTAAAACTGGACACAGAACTTCAATAAGATGGAAAGATGTGAGTGTCCATATGGGTAGGAATGACCCCCTAAAGCCTTGCGTCTGTGTTCACAAGTAGGTCTGTTGAGCAAATTTCAAAGTCTCCGAGGACTGAAGATTTTTTTGTGAATTAGCTGGCATCTGGAAAATGCTCCTTTTCTGATTTATTTTGAGTTTCATATCATGGAACAAAAATCAGACATATAAGTCATCTAAGTGCTTGGCCCAGATTTTAGCTGTCCTCCTAATTCATGTCTTGGGAATAGGAAAGTGGGTGGTTTGGACATTTGGCTTGGCTGCTCTGTAGTGATTAATCCAAATGCATTGAGAAGGAACAAAGAAATCATGGGGATGAGGACACCCTAGTGACTTCTATTTTATTTCTATGAAATAAATATAATAATAATGTCATTATTAAATAACACTTAACCTCTCCCTTTCCTAACCCTCTGCTCCCAGGGTTTGGAAACATGTTAATCTCATATTTGTCCTGGGTTAAGTATTATATCCCCATTCTGCCCCCACCCCCCATTTTACAGAGAAAGAATACTGAGGAGGAAAGATCAATTCTGGTTTTATGACGGTATCAGCTCTTCTGAGTCAAAAATTAGATGTCTGGCAAGCAAACAAACAAACTATTCACAGCATATTCACTTAGGTCAAGACAGAGGAAGCCTGTAGTGCTGAACCTTCTGAGATTAATTATTGATAATCAGGTCTTAGAGCAGTGAAAACTCTGCTCCAAGGATGCTGTGGCTCACAAATCCAGAAGAAACCCTGCCTTTGTTCTATGTTTATGGAAAGTCTCATACTGAAATGGAAGGAAGGGGAGGGCATGAATTATCCTCTTGGGAGAGTTCAGGTCCTCCTTGCCCAAAAGACAATCCCTCCCAAGTCATAGACTCTTTTCCTATAGTAAGGAAATATAAGCCTAAAATTACAGGCTAGAGGATTTAAAGATTTCCTAGCAAAATTCCTTTGTAGGTTCCAAACAAAAGGATAATTCTGTTGTCATTATTAAACCATGCAAAGGTGGGGAGGCAAAAATGTCACAGTTGGTGGGTTCTCACTTGTGTGCTTTACAGATGCAATGCAGGATATGACTCAGGCTCAGGGTTCAACAACAACAGTTAATTTACCAAGGGGAGAATGAGAGAAGTTGGGAGAGAGGACTAGAGGCAGTAGCAGTAGTCAGCAGGAATCAGTGACGCCTGTAGTCAGAAGTAGCAATCTCAAGGTTGGATGGGCAGCACTGGACATGGGACTGGTCAGTGCCAAAGGCAACAGCACCAGGGGTTGATACCCAATGAATCAGAGGAAGGAACCAGTGTTGTAGTTCTTAGAGATGCTGGGTATAAAGCCAACAGCAGAGAGCTTTTTTAGAGATACCTACTAGCACAGGGCCAATGGTGTCATTCAGCAGGTGACATCAGAGACAGAAGCAGAGGCAGAGGTCAGGTCTGTGAAGATGTGGTGCCAGAGAACAGAGACCTACAGCTCAACTTAAGTATTCCCAAGAGAGAGCTCAGAGGAATCTGCATGACTGGAAGCTGGCTGAAGCCTGACTTATATAGTTTTCAGAGTACCCACCTTTTAAACCTGATTGGTTCTTTTTAGTTGATTGGCAGGCATGGGAGCTTCCAATCAGACTGGCTCATTTATAATCCCAGCTATTTGATTGGTGCCAGTTGAACTGTGCCCAACCTGACCTATACTGAGGTTGAGCTTCTTAACTGAAACTGCATTAGTGTGCCCAACCTGACCTATACCAAGGTTGGGCTTCAAAACTGAACACCAGGAGCCCCTTTGGCACAGGTGCAAGCTTGAACCTGATTGGTGTCCACTGGACCTCCAATCAGATTGGTGCATTTTCAGTTCCATGCTGGTTTCCTGGACTCCTGTGCCAATCACAAAAGGGTTAAGCATGACCACTGAGATGATCTGCTGGAGAGAGAGTATTTTCCTTAGTTAAAAAAAAATTAGAAAATATATGCCATAGTAATAGACAATGTACATATATGAAATATATAAAAATATAGAGAGGAAAATGCTCCATGTTACTCTCTTGCTTTTACTTTTAAGACAACCACTATTAAGTTTCGTGTATTTCCTTCAACAATATTACTGTGCTGCTCTCTGGTTCTGCAAAGCAGCTGACATTATGAACATATAGCATTATCTTTGAAATTCTCTATACATGGCTTTGAGACTGGAACCAGTTTTCCTCTTTGTTGGTTTACTTTCTTGTTTTAGTGAAGTACACCTTCCAGTAGGTTCCTGGCAAAGAATGTTTGAAAGAAGTTTGAGATCTGACATATCATCAAATGTCTTTATTCTATTTTTACATGTGAGATTTGGCCTGGCATAGAATTCTATGATGAAAATAAAGGTCTTTTCAGAATTTTAAGGCATTGTTCCCTCTCTAACTTCTATTGTTAGTATGTGACCCGTTTCTTTGGTTCCTCTCTGGAAACTTTTAGTAACTTTCCTAGTATTCTGAAATATTGTTAACAATGTGCCAACGTGAGGCACAAGGTGTCAATTTTCATCCATTGAAGTGGACACACTATTGAACCTTTTTAGTCAAGAAGCTCAAGCCTTTCAAATCTTGGGAATTTTCTCAATTTATTTCTTTGATGATTTTCTCCTCTCCATTTTCCAGTTCTTTCTTCTAGATTGTTATTCAGATGATTCATTTTTCAGGCTGCTACTCTGATCATCTTTCTTGGTTTCCAGCCCTATATCTTAACCCTTTTTGGGGCTGTGGTGTCAGTTTTATCATTTACAGTTTACTATAAGTTTTTCACTTTGTCATATCTTTCAATTTCCAAAGATAGTTGAAAAAATATCTCGTATGGTTTTTTCAAAGTTGTTATCTCTTCTCTCAACTCTCAGAGACATTCATTCAAAGAGCAGGTTTACAATCTCTTCACAGAGTTTTGGTCCAAGTTTGTTTTTTTTTTTTTTTTGTCATGTTAGTGAGTCTTTCACCTTACTGACCTTCTCATATATGTCTGAGATCCTTGACTGTTCACATATAAGACTGCAACAACCATATGTTATCTGGAAGCTCTGTATCCATTGGTCAAGACTGTGCTATGGCTTCAGTAAAGGGAAATGTGATTGGATTGATTCATTTAAGGTTTTTTTCTCTTGGGCTCAATGGATTTCTCAGCAGGACTCTTTCAAACTCCTAACAGAGAGGAAGGGCAATTGCCTTTCTGGGAATACTGGGGAGGGGTTTTGAGAGTATAAATATTCCTTATAGACATTTTCAACTGATCCTTCTGTTTTTAGTTTCACCTGTTCTCCCACTTGACATCACCAATAAGCAAGCTTTTTGAGGGTTCTGGGATGCAAAGAGAGTTGCTGCATAGCTTTTCCACTGCTGGCTTAGGATTCAGCTTTAAGTACAATGAATCACTTCACAGTTGTCATTGTGATTTCCAGCTTCCCAAAATTGTATGCACCATCTTCCTTCTAGTCTTTGTCCTTGTGGTTTTATGACTTAAGGAAAAAAGCAGCTTTATGTATTTTACTTTTGGGGTAGCTGTGAATTATGTAACTGATTTTACTAGCAGCAAGATGCCCTTAAATGACTGAACAAAGGTTGGTCTTTGGGATTACACGGAGCTTTTGGAGAAAGAGGGGACATAAGCCTTGGAGTTACATCATTAATTCAGGAAGAGGTCAAAGGAACCTTCTAAACATTTTATTTTATTTTTTGGTAAAATCAAGAGCACTGGGGAA